TTCGTCCCTTTTGTCATCAAAACGTCCCATCGATGTCCTTTTACATATTCCGTCCCTTTTCCGTCGGTTTTCGATAACACTGTAATATTAGACGAATACGTTTCGTTTCACTCATTGATTTATTTTACTAAATTGCCATCACAATTCGTTGTACATTGGTGTCGATTCTGGCGTGATTCTCTAAACTTAAAACTAAATTTAACATCAGTATCCCTTGTCATTCTGCATAGAGAATGACAAGGATGCACTGCTGTCAAATGTCCGTCCTTTTTTACTAAAAATCGTCCCTTTTCAGTTTCGAATCGTCCGAAACACGACGTTGGTACTGGCAACACTGGTTGTTACTCCTATTTTTGTGTTGATTGAGTTTTTACTTTGTTGATTGTGAAGTGATAATAATTGCGTGTGAACGTATCAAACGATTTTGTTTCTGAATTGTTAAGACAGGCAAGACGTTTTCAGGAAAAAAACAGTGCATTCACGACAGGACGTTTATTTACCGTATGTGTGTTTGTAGTGTTCTCTACTCACGCATTAAAAGAACATTAAAAATGTATTCTACTTCAAATGAGGAACCGATGACGATTAGACTATTTGACTGGTTAAACCAGTGTATTGTAAAACTGTATTTCCAGGGCCCAAGAGGTGATACTTGATATTTTTTTTGTAGAAGAACAGTTTAGCCCTCAACATATTATAGTCATGGATAATTCCTACTCAGGTGAGCTAATATTGTTTGTCTAATGTCATGTGCAACTAACTGTATGAAATATAAGTATATTAAATGTTTTGTCTCAGAATACAGAACAACTGTATTCTGAGTGTTTTGTTTGACTTCTTAAAAAAGTAATAACAGTTCTAGATACTTAGGTTAGGAATCATTTACTATCACAATCTTATGAGAAAACTATTATTACTGTGTATTATTATTGCATATCATACTTAATTACAAATCTAGAACTAAAATGTTTATAGTAATCATGGTAACATTTAGACTTTCTTTTATTTGTTTTGTTATCACTAGACAGCTAATAGATGATGAGAGAATACAGAAATTCCTACATTGATTTGTAGACATCATATTTTAAAACTTTTATAACTTGCAAGAGTTAACTTGAGACCTATCAAACTGTTATTTTAAAATAAACAAAAAGGAATTTTCCATATTAATTATTCATTTCTTATTAATGTTATATTTTAGATCTCAAGAATGGAACATGTATGTGCTGCATGTTGGAGATCAGCAACTCAACAAGTACAAAAGCAACAACAACATGACTCAAATCGCCTTACTCTTGGAGATACTACATTAAGTGGCAATCGTTCTATACCTGTGCCACCTCCTCTGCCACAACCAAGACTAGAAGCAGTTCAACAAGTGACTCTAAAAATTGTATCATCATCATCATACATGCTGCTAACTCTCCTGGTCACTGTGTATTTGAAAATTGTTTAGAGCTTGAATGTCTACTTATTTCATCTACCATCAGGAATCTCTTATTGTATAATAATAAATTGTGCATACCAGCTGGTGCATGTGTTTGTCATCACTATTTGAATTATGGTTCATGGAATGAATTAACATCTTAATTAAGAGATTTTACTGGCACACAGTTTGATAATGTAATGATTATGATACAGCGAATTGGCTGATCGCTGTATCATAATCATTACATTATACAAATTAGATTTTTCTAATATTTCAATTATGTCTCCTCATTTATGTCATTATTGGCTTGGTATGAACTCTGAACAGTTTTATAATTTGCTCAACTGTATACCAATCTAGCAGATCAAGTGCCAAACGCTTCTATAGCCTTTTGTATTTATTTAGTTAAATTAAGAACTGCTGATAGCAACGAAAGATTGGCCACTCTTTTCAATAATCCTGGAGCTACATTAGAACGCTGTAAGACAAAAGCTAGAAATTGTTTGAATTTGTTTGTTTGTAGATGATATTCCTCTTGTTTTAGGTCTAAATAATTATTTATTAAGAGGTAGGATTAAATCCAGATACTTAAGCAGCGTACATATAACTCATATTTACTAATCAGTAGAGATGCTGCTTTGGCAGACAGATTAGAGGCTATAAAAGGTTATTATTGCAGCTGTCTCATTGGTAAACAACCTGTGGGCTGTTAGGACCACATAATGACTGTAGTTTAGTTTTTAAGTTGGGGTCGTTACAATGATGTTACTGCTCTGGCGCCTTATTTAGATTATTTTTTCCATGAAGATTATGTTGATTTGAAATATACTGGTAATTCAAATATAATGTGTACAATTAATATATGTAATCTAATAAAAAGTGTCTTATTAATGTTTTTATTTACCTATACGTAAATCTGCCATCACTGAAATCTGTGTTGTCATGAAAATCTATGCAGTAGGTTGGAAAAACAGTGAAAGACTCAAGTTGATCAAAAGTAACAGAATAAAAAAGTACCCAAAATTGCTGTTAACCAACTTTAAATAGGAGTTATTAAGGATTTGAGGTTATGTCACATTTTTTACAATAACATTAAAACCCCTGTTTTTATTTTCAAAATTCCAATTTGTCATACTAATTTAAATATTAAACGATCATTTAACATTTGTTTGGTATTGATGCAACCATTGTACGGCGGTCCATACATCCATGAGCATTCTCCTTTCTCCCAATATTCCCGCAGTCTACTCTTGCATAGTACACGCTCTATCACTTTTTCATCGTTGTAACTTTTTAAATATTTGTCGAAATGATATAGTGTAGAAGGCAAACTTTATAGTCTTTATATCAAAAGCGATAAAAGCATTTGTTTTGATGAAAAATAATATGTAAATAAAAAAGGTGCATTTTGGAAATGGTCATGAAATAATATTTAATTTTAGTTGCTTTTTTATAGATAGGTCCGACAAATGACTCCACCCCACCTGATGTCAAGTGAAGGTGAAGTCCAGACGCGAAGATAGCTGATACAGCAGTTCTACCTGCCACACCAGCCATCCTCACCCTGCCGGCCTGCATGTTGCTTCTTCACGCCTCTTTTAAAGGATCCCAGGTTGTAAGAGGGAGGGAACACGTGAGCGGGCAGAGCATTCCATTTACGGATAGTGCGACAAAGAAATGAGTCACTAATTTTCTTTATACGCTTTGGAATTGTGACCATAGTTAGACGGTGACAACGTAGGCCAGCGCGCGTGATCCTCTGAAGGGAAGGGGAAGGTGGGATAAAAGAGAATAACTCCTCGGAACACTCGCCGTGGTACAGACGATAGAACGCGCTTAGTGACGCCACGTCACGACGTAATTGAAGAGGCTCAAGGTGTTTAGTCACCTGCTCATCGCCTATGATGCGGATCGCGCGCCGCTGTAACCTATCCAAAGCATCGAGCAAGTACTTGGCGGAGCCATCCCAGAGGTGCGAGCAATATTCCACGCAGGACCGCACTTGCGTTTTGTACAACAAGCAGAGTTGATCGGGCGTGAAAAAACGCCGCACCTTGTTCAGGACTCCGAGTTTGCGTGAAGCTGTTTTGATCACTTTTGGTCAAGTATGCGTTGTTCATAGATGTTCATATAAACATAGATATGGTTCCTTTCGAAAATCTAGTCGTGGCCGTTTAGTCCGCGAGGTGCCTTATGTTGTAGAAGCAATGTCGCATCACTATTTGACATTTGCTAATCTGTGATTTTATTTCTACTACCTCCTGTTTGCGATGTCTGCCTGCGAGCGACTCGGCTTTCAATGTTGAGCTGAACAATAAAATCTTTTAAACCCGTCTTGTCTGGTTTTCCTCAAGCCCTAACTATCAATTCCGTAGACTCTAAAAATACCAAAACAACTAGGTACCTCAGAAACTAATGGCTTGATTACACTTGGTAGTTAGCCCGAATACGAGTACCAATCGAATACCCGTCTAAGGCCCGTATTACAGAATGACAAATAAGTGTTGATCTTTACTTGAGCACAGTTAGAAAGGGATATCGCTATGTGCTATATATAGCGACATCCCTTTCTAACTATGTTCAAGACTAGATAAATACTCTTTAAGAGAATCTTTCTATAATACGGGCTTAAGTGTAAATGAATGAAGTACGGTTACCCGGCACCACATTCCAAGCCCGTATTGCAGTATGAATATTGATTCGGGTGCCCGATTCGAGTAATATCTTTCGTACACCCTAATAAAGGATAACGACCAAATGTAATCAAATCATTAGATTAAAAATTACTGAGGCTGTAGAGATTCCTTATCTTATGCCTTCACAAAAACTTAACTGTCAATCAAACAAATGTCAACATAACAAGACTATGTTCCTAACCTACCGTCTGAGTCCAATTCTCACGATGTTGTTTCAATTTTGACATAAAATGTTTGTTAAAGACTCTTGATTTGTTGGTGCCGGTAGCGTAGGTTTGGAACGTAGCCCAACACATCAACGGAATTGCCAAAACAATAAGTATTGTTTTGTTCATAAAATTTCTTTTACAATAATAAAAAACCATAAAAAAATTGTGATTTGTAAAATAAAATACCATTTGTTGTGTAAATATGGAAGACGGTCATGTGAATACCTTCGCACTAAACTTTGAAAATAATCGGGTGAGTACAGTTCCTCCCTAATAATAGTTCAGCAGAAATCATCAGCAACTTCATTATTTTATAATGTCACTTCACTAACGATTACAGCCGCACTGAGAGACTTTGTTATGTTTAACGTTTTACGTGGTGTCTTATTCTAGCATTATCACATTTGGTAATTATCAGAATTTACAATATCACACACACAGTTCAAAACATTTTAAAGACTCCTCATTCTTAAGAAAGTATATAGGTACTTGGCCCTATGGATTTGGTGTTAATTCTTTAAGCACACCTATACAATTTTCCAAACTAAAAATTTATTTTAGTTTCACAATATTATGCTCTACTTACCTAGTAAAATAAAAACTCACTACCTATCTTCTGAACTTGTTGATAGAATAAAAGTTAGGTATATAGAATGTTCTACTTACTAGCTTATTAAATTATCACAAATAGGATCAGTTACTCATCTTCGTCCATGCTTGACAAGAACTGTTCAGTATTCCTCATTGGCCCACACAGGAATACTGTAAATGTTACTATGTAGAAATTTAACAGTAGAGTTAATATATTCAAATTAAAAAATATTAACATAAACAAAATAAAATTTAAATTTAACTGTATTTAAAAAAACAAAGCAATGTCACCTCCAGACAAGACTTCTTGGTTTCTTGGTGGACACATAAACCTTATATTAAATATTGGTATCACTATTTTCACTCTTTTTGAATCTTATGTGTTCCCATTGGCTATTACAAAATGGGTGATACTTATTATTAAATATAGTGGATTGTCATATTTCAATGGGTCCAGGAACTCAAAACAAGTAATGAGGACACATTATCAGTATAATTTGCAGTTAATAACAAGTAGTGATAGTAAAGTCATTGATGTTTTACAAAAACAAGTTTCTAGCGTAAGTGTTACTGTGGAGAAAGATACAGTTGTCTATGAAGATATATATATTCAGGTAATAGTATATTTCTACATCTTTGCCTATATTGTTGTTACTTTATTGTACCTGTATACTTTTGTATTTGAACAATAAAGTCCTAAAATTATGGATGTCCCTTATGGAGTCCCCTTACTCACCGACAGAAACACAAAACAACAAAAAGATAGTGTCGCTTTACTATGATCTTCTGTAAGGTGGTGGTTACTTCCCCAGACAGGCACTCCGATTTGAGCGGTAAATGCACCATGCCCTACCCCTCTTTTAAGGCAAGCTGCAGTTAGGTTTAAGATTTTTTTAAAATATTTTATTGGGCAGGACAATGTGTCTCAGATCTACTAGTAATTAATGAATTGTCCATACCCGGGATGATATTCGTGGCTATTCAAAATGTACAATATTCCTGGTAATGGAAAAAGAATGTTGAAAAAATATTCAATGTTAAAAAATTAAGCTGAACACACCACAGAATCATTTTTTCTCTAACTGGAAACTAATACTACTACATATAAAGCATCTAAAAAATTTGGTAACTTAAAGCATAATAATTAATTTGACTTCCCAGAATAGTTCTGCCTAGTCAAAAGACCAACTAAAAATTAAAAAAAAAATGTGGTCCAGACTAGCGATGCGCGACTACGAATGATTTTACCTTTCGACTAATTCGTAACTACTAATTTGGTTATTCGAAATGCAAATCAGTAGTATACTAATGTCATATTTAATTATTCGAATAACGACTACTAATTAGTAATACTAATGTCAAATCTCGCTACGTGCGATGCGCGCCGCCCGATACCTTCGACTCCAGTCATATAATATAAAGCGCAGACGACTTAGTCGAATGATTCGTGGACTCGAATGATTTGTATTATTCCAAGTCGCACATCGCTAGTCCAGACTGGTCCATTCTCTGAAATTTCTTTCCAACCTAAAAGATTTTTTTGACTTTTTGAACTTATTTTTGTCAATTTAGTTCTTATATTAGGTAATCATGTCGTTTTTTATTACCTATTTGTTTTTATTTATTTTGTTTTTTTTTCTGTATTAGTCTCATACATGTAATAGCTAAAAAGATACAAACAGAATAAGCAATTAATTACAACTATTACAAGTGCCTACCTAATGACAAAAATTTGGGTATGACTATAATGACCATCTGAAGCGGGAAATATAATTCGGCAAGTAAATACTAACTGAGTGAATTTCAACCAATTTATTGATACTAGTTTGTTTTTGTGCTAGTATATTTGTTTATATTTTAACAGTTATATATAACTAAAAATTTATTTTCACATATGGTTAGATAATAAATTATTGTTTTAATTGTAGATGATTACCTGTTTCATAGCATTTATTTATCCATTATTCATAGAAAAATATTAATTTGTAGTAGTAATTGTTATAACCAACAGTCTTGCAGTATGTTAATTGAAAAATTGTTTTCTGCTAAGGTACTTTATCTGCAGATGATCATGTAATAATCGGAAATGCTTTGCAGGGTTGACCATATAAGATTAAACCACCATTTACACCATGCGAGTTTCTTGCCTGTTGCATACAATTAAATTGAAGCAACAAATGGCTTGCATGATCTTAACAGCACCTAACACTCTTGATGTGGTATGCAGGTTTGCTTCTAAACTTATCTTAGTGGAAACAGCACATACAATAATTTCTGAAACAATTCTTGTATTCAACTGATCATTTGCAAACATAAGGGGTGTGTTAATCGTTGCTGCTCTTCTAAGCCAAGAAATATTGTTAAACGTCTTTATTTTATTCTTAAAAAAGAATCCATTAAATTATACCAAGAAAGTTTGGACGTCTTAACATTATCAGTACTGGAACCGGTGCCATGGATTGTTTTATTTTTGCTATCCCTATGATACCGCTTTCTTAATTTTATTTTTTATTTCTTTAGGGCAATACCACCAACTCCAAATTCCTGAGCAAATTGCTGTAGTGCAGCATTACGTGCATCACGTTTCTTGTAATTCACACTTTCAGTGTCACATAAACACTTGTGATTGATTACAATAAATTTTAATGAACTTCATTAAATCAGCAGAACCGAAGTTGAATATTTTTTGGCTCACAGTTAGGGTTACCAACTTTTTTTCAATCAAATATAGTATTTTCGAAGCTGTTACCTCTAAAATATATAGTAGATGGCAAAAAATGGAAATAAATATAGTATGTATAGTAAGGATCCCGGGGTCGATTCACTAAAAGCAGCCTACAATATTGCTTCCAAGGCCTGTAAGAAGGCTTACATCAGAGCGGATGCCCAGCGCGTAGCACGTGTTGGTCACGAACTTATAACGCATCCTACGGGCTCCCGTAGCTATTGGCGTTTGGCCAAGGCCGTGCAAAAGAACTTCTGCCAGCCCTCGCTGCCACCTCTGAGATGCCCAGACGGAACACTAGCTCATAAGCCGCAGGAGAAAGCCGATTTACTGGCAAAACTCTTTGCGGCTAACTCCCGAATCGATGATTGCAATGCACCGCCACCATCATTACCTCATTGTGGCACAACGATGCCGAATATCAAAATCAGGCAGCATGAGGTTCGTGCCGAATTGCAATCACTCGACGTCCGGAAAGCTAGTGGACCCGATGGTATCCCAGCAGTAGTACTGAAAAAATGTGCAGCGGAGTTGTCTCCCGTGCTCACGCGTTTGTACCAGTGCTCGTATTCTTTGGGGCGTGTGCCGGAAACTTGGAGAGTTGCTAACGTGCAACCGGTACCCAAAAAAGGAGATCGCTCAGACCCGGCTAACTACCGGCCAATAGCAGTCACCTCAGTATTATGTAAAGTCCTAGAAAAGGTCCTTAACAACCATCTGACCCGCTACCTAGAGGATCACTCCCTGATCAATGATCGTCAATATGGTTTTAGACCGAAACGATCGACGGGTGATCTTCTAGCGTACTTGACTCATATCTGGGGTGAGGATATCGACAAGCGAGGCGAGTCGTTGGCTATTAGCCTTGACATTGCCAAGGCATTCGACAGGGTCTGGCACAAAAGTCTTCTCTCCAAGCTTCCGGCATACGGTCTGCCGGCCCAGTTCTGTTCTTGGGTAGCTGACTTCCTGCATGAGCGTAGAATTCGTGTCCTTACGGATGGTCAGTGAATGCCGGCGTTCCCCAGGGCTCCGTCCTATCCCCCACTCTCTTTCTGCTGCATATCAATGACTTAATTCCTCTTGGGAATATTCATTGCTATGCAGACGATAGTACAGTGCATGCGGGGTATCTCGGACAAGCAGCGGCTGGGCAGGTGGTAACCAAGGAGAAACGGGAGAATCTTGTCATTGAGCTCAATCGGGCTTTGGACCACATTTCTGTATGGGGTACCAAGAACTTGGTTGAGTTCAATGCTAAGAAAACCCAGGTCTGTGCTTTCACGGCAAAAACGTCGCCATTCCTTTTATGTCCTTCTCTTCAGGGCACAACACTGGGGCTTGAGAGCAGTATCACCATGCTCGGTATGGAGATTCGCTGTGACTTAAATCCAAAGAATTACATCGAAAGTGTGATAAAAACAGCCTCACGCAAACTCGGAGTCCTGAACAAGGTGCGGCGTTTTTTCACGCCCGAGCAACTGTGCTTGTTGTATAAGACGCAGGTGCGGTCTTGCGTGGAATATTGCTCGCACCTCTGGGATGGCTCCGCTAAGTACTTGCTACAGCGGCACGCAATCCGCATCATAGGCGATGAGGAGGTGACTAAACACCTCGAGCCTCTTCAATTACGCCGTGACGTGGCGTCACTAAGCGCGTTCTATCGTCTGTACCACGGCGAGTGTTCTGAGGAGTTATTCTCTCTTATTCCACCTTCCCCTTTCCTTTAGAGGACCACGCGCGCTGGCTTACGTTGTCACCGTCTAACTGTGGCTACAATTCCAACGCGTACAAAGAAATTTGGTGACTCATTTCTTTCTCGTACTATCCGTAAATGGAATTCTCTGCCCGCTCACGTGTTCCCTCCCTCTTACAACCTGGGATCCTTTAAAAGAGGCGTGAAGAAGCAACTTGCAGGCCGGCAGGGTGAGGATGGCTGGTGTGGCAGTTAGAACTGCTGTATCAGCTATCTTCGCGTCTGGACTTCACCTTCACTTAACATCAGGTGGGGTGGAGTCATTTGTCGGATCTATCTATAAAAAAAAAGAAAAAGAAATGTGGTTAAAATATTTACTTCATTAATTGAAATGAATATATTTTTGCTGCTATATGCCTTAATATTTTTTTTTTTTAGCTTTTACTAGAAAAAACCTGCTTTAAGCAAAAAATAGTAGTTTCGCCTTCTATAATATTTTTTAGAAATATATACATGTGTTCGAATACATTTGAACGTCCCGTTCAAAATCAGCCTCGTTTGTTTTGATCAAATCTGCCCCATGGACACTTGGAAGATAAAATATTACAAAAAAATAATATGAAATAACTGGCAAGCAAAAACTACAAGGTGGATTGAAAACTTATAAGTACTGCACAATCTGCACAATTTTGTGAAAGAATTAATTGGAAACCTTTACTCGCGTGATACAACCCTTATTTTTATTTTTTACTTCACCGGTACAAACACGACGACAGGTTTATAAATCTTTTTGAAAACGAAACGCGCGCGCTTTTTACTTGACAGATTAACATTAAGTTGCGTTCAGAAATCAACATGTCCAATTCTCCCCCTGTGCTAAGGTGCCTCCTTCTCCCCTATTTGATGCCCTACTTTAGTAGGATACTATACTATATTATAAAGTAAGGATGGCAACCCTACTCACAGTATTATTTTTATTTTATGAACTCACCATACGTGGCCACGAACATGCCAATAGCAAAAACCATAGCCATTACATCTATAGACTTACTATTCTATATCTATTTTTATGACGAAAAACCAGCCACACTTGGTGCCAAATAACGCAAAACGACAGATTAGCAAAATGAGGATCATTTGTCTTTTTTTTTTCAAATATGTTGGCGTTTGTCAATAAAGCAAACGTTTTGTCG